ATTATTTAGTTTTTCTTTTCTTTTCAAATACGTGTTTTAAATTTATAAAATCTAGCAATGAATTGAACTTTTGGATGTGTTAACCCTTTTTTTAAAAAAAGTATCTATCGTTTAATCTCCAAACAATCAACCTCGGTTCAATTTGTCCCCAAAATCATCCCTTTTAAGAAAAATATTTCTTATTTTAACAATTGTTTCACTCAAATCACGGACACTAAAGCATTGAGCGTAAGGAGCATAGAAATTTTACCACCAAGAACCCCCAAAATCTAGCATAATATTCAAAAGAGTAGGTATAATACCGAAATCTCCCTATAATAAAAATGTAAACTAAAAATAATATTTTAGTAATCATTTTTTACATGACCACATCTTTACATCTCATTTCCTTTTGCGAGTATCGGCAACTCTCATATAAACCTCTTAAATGAACTTCTTGTTAAGATAGTGCAACACATTTACAAACATCTCATAACATCCCAACAATCCAATCCGAGATAAAATAGAAACAAATCAAATCAAGCTTTGAAAAAATTAAGAAAAATACTCTCGATTCAAACACAACATTATTATACACACAACTAAAGTAAAACATGATTTTACTATTCATTTTTACTATTCGAAACACTCGTTCACATACTCATAAATCACTATTCATACACCCATAAATCATTATTTCTTTCACTAATCATGTTCTTTTTTTAGCACTTTAGTTCTCAATTTTTCTATACTTTTTTTTTCAATTTCAAACTTTAATTGTATTATGATTTTATCTCATTTTGTTTTAGTATTTCATTTAATTATTTTTATTATTTAAAAGTTACAACTTTAATTTGTTGTTTTTTTAATGTATTTATATTTTATTAATATTATGATCATATTATAATAATATTATTTTTTTACACTAATATTTATTTATTTTTTTAATTAAATAATTAAAATAATATTTTGATTTAACAACTCAATGATTCAAATTAATATATTTTTTTATTTGAATATTATTCATTATTTTGTAAATAAATATATAAAAATTGAATTCATATTTTTTCAAAAATCGATATTCTCATCAACGTTAAATAAAAAAATTATTTTTTTAATTCTATGTAAACTTTTAATAACTCGTTATTTATGTTTTTTGACACAATCTTATGAAATACTAAAGCTTTTTAAAATTTTTTTTAAATTTTCTTTTTAGCTAATAATCCATAGATTAACAAGGATAAATCCTTTTTTCTAAAGAAAAAATTATGAAAAATACTAATAAGAAATAGTTAAATACAAAATTTTTTATTAAAAAATTATAAATAATTTTTTTCACCATTGATTTCATATATTTTTATAGATTCACATCATAAAATAGACTATCAAACTGAAATAATTTTTCTAAACAATTTTATATATTTTACACAACTCGCAGAGTAGCACTAACAAAAAAAAAAAAACTAGTAAAAAAACTAAAGTAAAACACGGTTTTACTATTCATTTACACTATTTGAAATACTATTCACATACTCACAAATCACTAATCACATACTCACAAATTGCTATTACTTTCACTTGTTCATGTCATTTTTTTTAATATTTTGGTCCTCAATTTTTCTTAACTTTCCTTTTTCAATTTCAAACCTTAATTATATTGTGATTTAGTCCTACTTTATTTTAATGTTTTCTTTTAATTATTTTTATTATCTAAAATTTACTACTTTAATTTTTTATTTTTCTAATTTTTTTTCAATTTCAAACTTTAATTACATTGTGATTTGGTCTCATTTTGTTTTAGTGTTTTTTTTATTAATTATTGTTATTATTTAAATTTTTTTTTAATTTATCATTTTCTTAAATTTTCATTCGATTAATTTAAAATTATATTTACCGATAGTTTTGATTTGTTTTTCTATATGTATGAATTTTTTAATAAACGTTTAGAACATGATAATTTTTTCTTTCGCAAAATAGATTTAGATAATTTTTAAAATATAATGGCATTATATATATATATATATATATATATATATATATATATATATATATATATATATATATATATATATATATATATATATATATATAATTTGTCTAAAATATATTTTTAGATTAAAGGTGTACTTCAAATAGTTTTTTCTCAATATTTTTTATATTATTTTAAATTTATCACATTAATTTATCATTTTTTAAATTCTATTTTTTTCAATTTCAAACTTTGATTATATTGTGATTTGTTCCCATTTTGTTTTTGTATTTTTTTAATTATTTAAAATTTAGAGCTTTGAATTGTCATTTTTTAAAAAACAATTATCATCTAATTAATTTAAAATTATATTTACTGATAATTTTGATTTATTTTTTTATATATATGGATTTTGGAATAATTTTTTAGAACATGATTATTATTTCTTTGAAAAATAGAATTAGATCATTTTTGAATTATAGTGGCATGATTAATATATATAATTTGTCTAAAACATATTTTTAGATTAAAATTTTTTTCAAATAATTTTTTTTTGTTTTTTAATATTATTTAAACTTTGCTACATTAATTTGCCTTTTTTTTTTTTTTTAATTCTCTCCTTTTTTTCAATTTCAAACTTTGATTATATTGTGATTTGGTCCCATTTTGTTTTAGTATTTTTTTAATTATTTTTATTATTTAAATTTACCACTTTAATTTGTTATTTTTTTAAAATTCTCATCCAATTAATTTAAAATTATATTTACTGATAATTTTGATTTATTTTTTTACATGTATGGATTTTGAAATAAATTTTTAGAAAGTGATTTTTTTCTTTTGAAAAATAGATTTAGATAACTTTTAAATTATAGTAGCATGATTAATATATATAATTTGTCTAAAATACATTTTTAGATTAAAATTATATTTCAAATAATTTTTTTCTCGATTTTTTAGAAAAAAATTCAAATTAATTAATTAATAATTGAAAGTCAAATGTGAAAAATAAAAAGAAGATGGTTACTCTGCGCATGAGGCCTATCTTCAAGGACTAGTCATGGATAGCATAGAAATAAAATATATATTTAAGAAGAAGGGAAAAAAAAACAAAAGAAAAATAATTCATATGTTTTATTAATTAGTTTCTTCTTTATATAATCAAAATTAATAGAAATCAAATTTATAATAATTTTTATTTTAGTTTATTAATTTCAAATTTAGTCAATAGATTCCTTACAAGTTAACTTTTTTTAGAGTAATTTTTGTTTTAAACTAAAAACTCTAAACTCACTTAGTATAGTTATGATGTATAAAAAACAATATTGAATCGTTACTTTTTTAGAAATTAAGCTGTGCAACTACTATTATACTAAGTATTTACTATTTAGTTATTTATTTTGAATTAAATAATTAAAATAATATTTTGATTTAAACACTCAATGATTCAAATTAATATAGTTTTTTATTTTAATATTATTCATTCTTTTGTAAATAAATATATAAAAATTAAATTCACATTTTTTTCAAAAATCGATATTCTCATCAATATTAAATGAAAAAAATTATTTTTCAATTCTATGTAAGCTTTTAATAATTGTTATTTATGTTTTTCAACACAATCTTATGAAATACTAAAGCTTTTTTAAAAGAAATTATTTAATTTTCTTTTTAGTTAATAATTCATGGATTAACAAGGATAAATCCTTTTTCTAAAGGAAAAATTATGAAAAACACAAATAAAAAAGTTAAAAAAATTATTAAAAAAATTATAAATAATTTTTTTCACATTTGATTTCATATATTTTTATAAATTCACACCATAAAATAGACTATCAAACTCGAAATAATTTACGTAAACGATTTTATATATTTTACCCATTCCGCAAGCATAATGTAGGCAAAAAAACTAATTAATAATTCGAAGCAAAAACATTCATTCTTCCAAAAGATACGTAAAACATCTACTCTCCATTACATTTCATGGTGTGTATATTTCACATTACAATACAAGGAATAAAAACAAACCTTCTACCAAATTGGGTAAGACACAATTCCATTAGATTAATTGTAATTTAGCAAAGCTAACACCGTATAGAAATTGGATTTCGACAACAATATATATCAAGGAAACTTATGACCTAAGAAGGATTAAAATATTCCCGAACTATCCTAAAAGGTTGAAAATCATTAAAAGATTAGTACTCTATCAAGAAAAAAGAACGAAAAAAAAATGTATTTTCTAAACTTATCCGACAAATAAAAACAAAAATAAAAAACCTAAACAATGAGTGAGCAAGTGCAAATAAAAAATCAAGGCATAAAACATTGGATGTTAGAATATTAGTTCGGATATTTAAGGTTTTTCTTCTAATGATTAAGTGATTGGTGCAAAATATTATGTTATGTTTTTTTTTATTATTAAATACAAGTTTGAAGATCTTACTATATTTATCAAATTTAGGCATATGGTTGAAAAAAATTTTGGGATCCCTATCAAATCTTTTCAAGCAAATTGAAGAGGTGAGTATCATATTCTAACACATTATCTTACTAATAATGGAATTACACAAAAGAGTTCATGTTTACACACTCTGAGAGCAAAATGGATGTATTGAATGTACACATCGGTACGTGGTAGAAACTGATTTGGCATTATTATATCATGCTAATATCCTATTGAAAATTAGACATATACTTTTGATGTAGTAATGTATACGATTAATAGACTTCCTACACTAAATCTATCCATTAAGACTTCATATAAAATATTATTTCACAAAGCACTCGATTATTAATCTCTTAAGAACTTAGATTGTGTTTGTTGTCCATGGTTACACCCGTATGTGACAAATAAGTTGGCACTCTATCCCGACGGTGTGTCTTTTAAGCATATAGTAAGCTTCACAAAGGTTATTTTTATATAATTTCACTACTAAAAAAAAATTATGTCTCATGTCATATTGTTTTCTCTAAACAAGAATTTCCCTTTGTTGTGAGTGATACCAGCTCCTCTAACGAGTCCCTCACTCTTGATTTTAGCTTCTAGCTCCTCTCATGCTTCCTTATCTCTAGCCCCAGCTTTAGCCTCCCTCCATGTCCTCGGGATGTTTTGAACACCGATTTGTCCAACATCACCTCGAATTCTACAATTCAAGTAGCCGTAAATGCACCTATCATGCCTAGGTTCAATGGTACTTATGTTAACCCATAAACATGCTCATCCACTCCTCTCACATCCATGGTAACATAACCTATTGCCTCTTAACTAGCCAATGATCATCCCATGCTCACCCACTCTAAAATTGAACATTCAAAACAAAAAACCTTTTACATTGTTATTATGCTTCCTCTTAACCCGCAATCATATTCTAAGGCAATCAAATCTATTGAATGGCGACATGTTATTATGTTGGAGAGGATCTCAAGCCTAAATTTATTGAAGAATGTCGACATAGAAATGATTGGTATAAATGAAAAGAACAATCCAAACAACATTATATTCTTTTACAAAACAAGTAGTTTTTGAATCCATAATCAAAACACCTAAAAATGTTAAGTTAGTGAGATACAAATAGGTATTTAAGTTAAAACGAAATAAGAAAGATGAGATTGTGAGATATAAAGCAAGACTTGTAACATAAGGATTTTCACAAAGATCTAACATTGATTATGATGAGATATATTCTCGTATAATAGATGGAATCACATTCCGTTATCTTATTAGCTTGATAAAATATATGAAGAATTTCATATGCATGCATTTAATGAATATGATCACAACTTATTTATTCACTTAAAATGATGTCTATATAAAAGTCCTAGAATGACTTAAGATGTCCGAAGCATGTGATACACATTTTCGAGAAATAAATTTCATTAAATTATAAAGATCTCTATCAAGATTATTTTAGTATTTTTTTTATTATTTTAGTTTTTAGAAATTGAATTTATGCTATGTTTTTTATATTTGTTTTTATCTACTTTATATTACTAACCTATGTGTATGTGATATAATTGTTTCAATAAATATTTATTGAAATACGATTATAAAAATAATCATATTTGTTCATATATTTTTATAAAAAAAATCAAAAATAAAACTCTTGAAGAGATTCTAAGTGCCATATGTTATCTAAAAGGAGAATTTGATAACTTGGGGAAAAAGCTTTTATCTTGATTTGTAGTTCGAGCACTTAAAGGATGAGATTTTTATTCATCGGTTATATATATATATATATATATTCTACAATGATTCTATATAAAACTCATTCATTGATTAGTTAAATGGTAGTTCGTTAACTTGATATCCAAAAAAATCTTTTTTCAATCTCGATAAGATAATAAAGAATTACTTGGTTCCGACATACCATATCTTAGTACAATTGATGTAATAGTATATCTTGCTAATAATACTCGACCTAACATAGCATTTTTTATAAATTTATTAACAAAAAATAGTTTTGCTCAAATAGAGAGACAATGGAATGGAATTCAACATTTCCTACATTATCTCGAAGAAAAATTGATATGATATTTATTTTATTCAAATAAACCAAAGTCGAGTTCAATTGGTTATATAGATGCAGATTATTTATTTGATCCATATAAAACTCGATCATAAATGGGTTATGTATTTACACATGATGATACAACCATATCATGACGTTTTGTGAAGTAAATTATAGCTACTACATATTCAAAACATGCGAAATATTAGTAATTCATGAAACAAGTCAAGAATGTATTTGTTTACAGATTAATGACTCATCATATTCGAGAGACATGCGGTTTATCCACTAGCAAAGAAGTTTTAACAATATCATATGAAGGTAAGATGCTTCCATAATTCAATTAAAGGAAGAATACATCAAATTGACAATCCGATAAACTTATTCACTAAGGCACTACCTATCATAGTTTTTGAGAAAATGATTCGCAAGAGAGGTGTGGTCTTAAAGATTTTAAATGATGTTTTCAATAAAGGGATCCTAACATAGAGATTAATGTGTATAAGAAATACCGTACTATTTTTCCTTCACCGTGATTTTTTTCCACCAAGTTTTTTTCCTAGTAGGGTTTTAATGAGACATGTTCTTTATACAACGGATATTCAAGGAAGAGTTTTATGAAATAACGAATATCCATAAGAATGTTCATATACTTTTCATATCCTCACTACGTATAATTCTTAATATGATTCAGTTCACTATTCAATATGAAAAATTGAATGGGTGATGTAATTGATTCAATAATTTATCTATTTTTAATTATTCACGGTCTCTTCCAATTCTCCTTCTAATTTTGAAGCCTATTAATTGTTTATTAGTTTGTGTACAAGTATTTTGTAGAGATTAAGAGAATTATTTAGAGTTGTTATCTCTTGTATTTATTTTCCTATTATCTTTCTCTTCAATTCTACTATTGTTAAATACAACTTTGTATACTAATATTGTTGATTATTTTATAAATAAATATATATAAATCAGATGAATATATATTTTATATAATTTTAAAAAGATTCATTTGTTAATTTTTGTACAAGTTTTTATGTTAATTGTTGTTTTATTTCTTTGATACAATCTTATAAAAAAATACTAATTTTTTTTTTAATTTTTATATTTAGATTATTGTAGGATTTTATTTAAGAATAAATGCACAACAAAGAACTAATCGTGATTTTTTAATTATAAAAATTTATGAAAAAAATGCAAAGAAGAATAAATTAAATACAAAATTTTAATTAAAAATTATGAAATTAAATGAAATGTTAACTTTTACCTTTAATTTTATATAGTTTAGTAGACCGATAGCGTAGTGCAATTTATAAAATTAAAATAAATATATTTAATTCGATTTGCAATGTAACACAGAAACCGATTAGTTAATAATCTAAAACAAAAACATTCATTCTTTAAGAATTCCAAAATATTACATACAACATCTACTCTCCAATACATTTCATGATGTCTATATTACAAAAGACTCTAAAAGAGGCGAAGGATTTGAATAGTAAAAATCACTATTCATCTCCTTACAAAATCATTGTTCATGTATTATGGCATTTTTGTAATTTTTAACCGCTTTTGAACATTTATATTCGAAGTTTACATAGATTTTCATTTTAATCCTTGAAGTTTTAAAATAAAAATTTGATGCTTAGGCCGTTTGGCCTCTTGGCTTGTTGCATTTGGTCGTTGCATTGGGCCTACAACAAGACCAAGGCAAGCAAGCTTGCCTACTCTTTTTTTCTTTGTTTTTTTTTTCATCAATTTATGCTTTTTTGTTATTGAATCGAGTGTGAAAATTATATATAAAAAAATACTATATTTATTCTCTTCCTCCACCCCTCCCCCCAAATTTATTATTATTATTACTATTTAGTTATTGAATTAGGTGTGAATATTATGAAAAAAATTATTTTTTTTCACACAAGATGACGGTTATGAAATATATATGACATATTTTTAGATTTTAATATGTGTGTGTGTATATATATAGGATTATATTACTCTTATTGTTTAAAACTGATCTCTTTAATTTGTCGTTTCTTATAAAACTTCTCTTTAGATTAATTTTTTATTCCTTTTTATGTAATTTTATTTGTTAAAATTTGTGATTTGTTTTCTCTTAAATTTATGATTTACTTTCTCTTATATATGGATTTTTGAATAAAATTTTTAGTTTATTTATTTATTTATTTTTTATATAATCGAATTTTGAAAATAGAATTCACATATTTTATTTACTTATTCTTTATATAATCAAATTTTGTCAAAATCAATTTTGCTTCTTTTTTTTTATTGCATCTTACTAACTTCAATACATTTTTTATAATTAATTTTTTTTAAAAAAAATCAGTTTATTCTACACACTCTAAATTAATAAGTAAAATCATGATGTCTAAAACAATATATATTAGAGTTATTGATTTTATTGAAAATTAACTATGCATTTACACTCATAACATCAACCAGTGTTATTATTTTTATATTTTAGAATTATTTTTTTCAAATAAAATAATTGAAATAATGTTTGAAAAGAACTACCAAATAATTAAAATACAATTTTTTATACTATATGTGTGTGTGTGTGTTTTTTTTTTTTAATTATTGAATTAGGTGTGAAAATTATCAAAAATGTTATTTTTATTCTCTTTCTTTTTTTCTTTGTTTTTCCACCCGTTTATGGATTTTTTTCTCGTTATTGAATTGGGTGTGAAGATTATGAAAAATAAATTATTATTTTTTTCACACAACCAATACTAATGTTATTCATTATATATATATATATATATACTTTCAAAAAAAAATTCTTCTCATTAGTATTAAACAAGAATAAAAAAAATTATTCGTTAATTTTTATTCAAGTTTTTATGTTACTTTATTTATTCAATACAATGTTATGAAAAAAATATTACAAAAATTAAATATATTTTTTAAAAATTTTATAGTTAGATTATTATTGATTTTTTAAAAGAATAAATGCAGAAAAAAAATAAATCGTATTTTTTTAACTACAAAAATTATTAAAAGGTCAAAAAAAAACAAAATTTTGATTAAAAAATTATAAAATTAGATGAAATTTTATCTTTAATTTAATATATTTGTGGAGATCGATAGTATAATAAACGTTATCAAACTGAAATAAATATATTTAATTTGATCCGCAAGAAGCCAACTAATTTCCTGCTACAATGCAATGAATAAACTAACCTTCCTATCAAATTGGGTAAGACACAATTCGATCAGATGAGTAGACATTCAGCGAAGCAACGTTGTACAGAAATTGGATTTCATCAACAATATTTGTCAAGGAAACTTATGACCTCAGAAGGACTTGAATATTCCTGAATTGGGTCTCACGTAATGAATTATCCTGAAAGGTTGAAAACCATTATAAGATAAGTTCTCTATCAGGAAAAAGGAAAGAAAAGATGTTTTCTAAACGAATCTGACACAATGCAAAAATAGAAAGCCCAAACAACGAGTGAGCAGTGCAAATAAAGAATCAAGGCATAAAACAATGGATGCTAGTAGATCAGCAGCTGAATCAGCCTTTTGGTCTAATAAGCTGCCACAACCTACATAAGTTTGTAATAACAGTTTGTCCCAAAAATAAGTGAGAGGCTTTTTCACAGGGACAATTGAAATGGATGATCAAGTACCCCCCAGTTTTCTCCACGCACACAGCTTCTTCACAAGCTGTCATTGAATTATTTTGCATTAAATAGATAGCCAATTAAATAAAAACCAACCTCTAATTAAAAAACTAATCAAGAAGAAATAAATTTTTTTTGACAGTTATTCAGTTTTCTTTGCAGAGTAAAAAGACACAAACAAAGATAACAGTTATACCTTCACTGCATTAGTTATGTTCTCTTCAGTATCTTCATCATCTTCTTCATATTCACAAGGCATAATTTCATCCCACAACTGGTTAATCTCCTTCGTGCTGTCCCTCGTCCTCTTCAACCACTGTATTAACCATCAATTTCAAAAACTGGATTATAATTGATCCCAAATTTCTTAAAGAACAACAAATTCCACATTGTAACTCAACAATCTCCAAAATAGAAATCCAAAAATCCACGTTACACTATATACTAATGGTTCCAAACATCCACGTTAATTCTAACAATTTAAACAATCATAATCACAAAAACAAAAAAGAAAAAAAAGATTAATCAAAACACTAATGTCTATACAAATTACAATTGTGGCATTTACACTACTATTACTAACCTTAAAGCTGGGACTCACATCCGCGCCCATATCATTAGAACTGATGATCGCGAATAGATATTGTTTGGAGATAGGTCGGACATGGATCTTCTCACTGTTGGCCGTGGTGGCAGAGAAGCAATACTACCCTTTGAAGCCGGTGTAGTCACAACATTAGGCTCGCGGTAAAAAGGCTATTTGAAACTATGAAGTTCCTTTCTTTGTCATTCGAATGCATCTTTGACACCAAAACTGGAATTCCAATTGACCTAGATTGGAGAAAGTTGGTCTCTTCTCAATCTGGTGAGCAAATCTCTGATGCCCTTTTTGTTATTTTTTCAAATTGGGTATCTGGGTTTTTCTTTTCCGTTTTTGTTGGTTTTTATATGATGAAGTTATTGCATCTCTATTAGAGACTGACACAATAAGTTGGCAACTGGTGACGAAAATGGATCAGAACTGCATCGGCGGAGACCAGGTGAAGTAGTAACCATGTCGTGTGATTGGGCGTTAGCATTGTGCACTGATGATGTCGAAAGAAGGGCAATCTTGAAGAATCCATGGAGAGAAGGCACTTTTGAGGTGGTGGTCTCTTGGGGTCAATAAAGATTTTCTTTTGGAGCTAGTTTTGTGAGTGATCAAAGGATTGGAGGAGAGAACCAAGGCAGCCACAGTCCGTGGAAGGAATATGGTGGCTGTTGGTGGTGATGGAGGGATTGAAGCTGTCAAGGCAGAGTAGGGTGAAATCAATGGATTCCTTTTCAGGGTTGGTGGGGAATTGGGGTTCTTGTTTAAGGTAATTCATAGCTTTTCTTGGTTTTTGATCATTTTTCTTGGCTTTTCTCCGTCTTTTTTTTTTTTTTTTTTTTGCTCTCTCAGTCTTTTCATGGTGATTTTCGGTTCTCTGGCAATGGTGGGATGAAGGAAGGGTTCAGTGAGGCAGGTGAGAGCCGAGAGGGGTATTGGATTGGTTAGCCAAATAAGCAGGGCACGGTCTCAGTTTAGTGGTTGATTTTCTAACTTGGCAAAACAAGATGGGATCAGCGCCGCCAATTTTTTTTTGCTTTTTCGGTCAAGAGAAAGACCCTCTAGCCCCCAAAAACATGATTCTCAAAATCCAACCTGACAAGGAGGGTGTCAAGGATAGACCAATTAGTAAACTAAATTTGCCTAATTATTTCTCGAAAGGGTTAATTTATATATATATATATATTTTTTTTTTTCCCTTTTTTGTGCTAACTAGCATTACAGTAAATAACAGAAAATATTTTTATCAAAAACTAGAACCTTTTGTACACTAGAAGGGGAAATTCCCAAAATATTTCAAACTGCTATAATTTTTTCAAAAAATTAAAAACTTTTACTGGCTAAATTTCTAATTGTTTCATTATAAAAAAAATTGACAACTTTTAATAAAAACTAATTAAATCGTATTACTCAATTTTTATCAAAAAAATATTCAGAAAAATTGAGACTTTCAAGTCCGAGACCTCCATTTGAAAATATGAATTCTGCCAGGATGATAATTCTGCGATTATTATTCACTTTTCATTGACAGGCATCATACTAAAAGAAAATTGCAAATTATAGCTTTTCCAATGAGGTGAGAAATCTACATATACACAATTCTACTGCCTTCGCCCACACACTGACTGACACAAGAACTATATAGGTCAGGGTGTCAAAGCATATACTCGTTGCTTGTTCACACACAACAAATCACTATTTTGAACATGCTTCGTGCTTGCGTCCTACTATTCCAAAGGCGAGTCCCACTGTTTTATGAAGGAATGATGTAAAATGGGAGTCTTCGGAATTATTGGTTTTAACCTAAAACTCTTCCTCCGGGGACTCTTCTATTCCAATTATTGAGATGGTTCCTGGAGAAAGCACCATCTCCATTGAAGGGTGGAAAGTCTTCATTTGGGGATCGAAAATCAAGGCATCAAATCAAAATATGTCTCCAACAGTGAATGAACTTCAGCTAGGGAGGAGACCTTGAAGTCTGGTTCTAGATCCAACTTAGTAAAATCAGAAGAACCATATCTACCTTTTTCATCAAGCAAGCAAGTGATGGCTCCAGCTCGCTTTCCACAGGCCACCTGTACAAGCCATAAAATCAATCACCCATTGCTTAAGATCATGAATATACACAATATTGACTTGAACAGAACCAGAATTGGTCACATTCTTAACTAACAAAATTACGAAAAACAATACTCTATATTAAATCAGAAAGTTGAGCATTGTTTCACACCAAGCCTTATGAGGTAAAAGCAAAATTCCATCCTTTTACTATAAGCATCAAGAGAACAAAATATCACCTACAAAAGTATCGGAAAAGAATTTAAGAAAGAAAATATCACTCACATCATCTTTCAGGCTGTCACCAACCATCATGACCTCACTGGGCTGGACATCCCAAGTTGAACAGATATGCAGAAGAGGAGCAGGATCTGGCTTATAAGGACGAAACTCCCTGCTTAATGCTGGAGAAAACATAATCTGCAGCCATAACACGTGCCATGGAAGATTAAAACATAACAATTCTGATAAAGCAACGATAAAATGTCCTAGTGCAAAGGGCATGACTATGGGGAGACAGCACATGTAAAACTGGGTCACATCTATCGAGGTATTAGTTTGCTGTTTGCTTGACATTAGAAGAGGCCTTCTTCTTATAATTTTTTTTATAATTTTTTTTCTGAAAAAATATAACAGAATTTTTTGGTAGATATATACCGAAAGTGGGAGGAAGGAGCCAAAAAAGAAAGGTGCTTTTCAGCAGAAGCTTTTCTTTTCTTTTCTTTTCCTCCATAGGTGAAAGAAAATTTTTAAAAACTTAGCTATTTGAAGCAAAATGGTAAAAATTGAGCAAAAGGAATTATCACAATAAGAGGCAAACCTTTGACCAAGCACACCAAGTGTTCAGGCTCCAGTGAGAGGAGAATCCAAGGATGATACATACAGAAACTAAGAATTCACGAAGCACAGAAACAATCCAGAGGGACTTTCAGTGTTAGACCAGAAAGAGAATAAAAAAGTCGTTTTGAAGAAAAGTCAAAGTTGACATTGGAAAAGTTTACATCATTAAGCTTCCATTCCCTGATCTACAGTCCTGATGGACTTTGTATGGACTAGAAATGCATTTTGTTTGTAGACCCATGCAGATTGGACAGCCTCACTTGTATAGGTGTTTAACCTGACAGATTCTGCTATAGAAATTCACTCTTTGAATGCCCATTTCATGCATTTCACACTCACATGCAATTGTTCTGAGCATTCGAAGAAAGTTGTGGAACTGTGGCAGAAAATGTCTTCATGTTACATTCATCAACCTTGATGCAATATACCATATGGGTTTTAACTTACCCCAAAGCGTTGATGATAAAGATCAACTGCTTCCTTGACATTTCGCGTGATCAATCCCCTTCTGAAAACAAGAAAAACATTTGCCATCATGACCATATAGATGCCACATAATTTTTTATTTTTTTTCAGAACATACTGTGTTTTCATAAGAGCTGTATTTGTCTATGGTGCATTTTCAAGCAAAAGTCACAGATCAATTACATTCTGAATCTTACCTGACATGCAAAATTATATGAAATTATGCTTTACCATCATTCACTTCAAGCACAAGTTGAAAAGCTGAGAAAAAAAAAATTTAATTTACTGCCATGCAAGCAAGGGAAATGCAGACATGGAAATGAACTAAATCCAGCGAGAAACAAATATGCAAAAATCAATGATCCCGTCACTCTAAATTATCACTTCACAAATATATCCCATACAGCATTCATTCTCTAGCAAATCTAACAAGCACAGATGCACTTGTAACATGAGATTAATCAAAACTCAATTTCGAACCCCAACCCACCACGATTTATATATAAAAAAATAAAAAAAAACATATCGTGGGTAATTAAAAGGTAGATAGAGATTCATTTTATAGCCATGAAAAAGTAATTTTGTCCAAACCCAGTAAGCCCCAAGAATCATTACCACTTACATTTAACGTAATATGGAACTAATTCACACATTTAAATGCTTAACAACATTAAATAGGTTAGTCAGTCGCAAATTGAATAAAACAGTAAAGAAGCTAAATTCCTCAAGACAAATGAAAAACTAATAATACATAATTTTAGTACCTAATTTTCTTGGAATCAAGAAACCCACAAAGCTCACCTGCACCTGCACCACAATAATTTCCAACAATAAATAAATAAATAAAATCATCAGGTGAATTAAAGTAAAAAAATAAAAATAAAAATCACGACGCCGCGTAGGTGCTATCCAATGACTCGCCAGGCATGATTTTTAGTCGTTCGAGGCCTTGGCGCTCGAAATCAAGGATAACCTCATAAGCGTTTCGCTGCTTATCAGGGCTCCAACTCTCAATGTGATGCAAAATGTCGATGCCTGATGGATTTTCTTGTCTGATTCTGCGATACTCGGTTTCTCCAAGCACGGCCTTGTACATTGCAGCGAAATCAATGACGGGGACAGTTAGGGTTCCGTCCATGTCGAACACGACACCTCTTAAGCGAGTTTTGGTATTGACGGACATGGCGGTGGTGGTGAGGTGTGAAATGGGAAAACAGCGGGGTTTTGGGTGTAAGAAGGGGAGAGATTTGAAGAGAAGTGAGTGCATTGCATTTACTTCATTTTTATTGGGGGAGAAAGCGGTGGAGGGAGATATTTTGGTGACGAGGGAAATGGTACGAAGTAATAAACCTGTGGAGTTCCATTTTTTATTAAAAAGAAAATTAATAATAATAGGTAGAGACCTTATACCCATATTTTTATTTTTCATCTTTTATTAGTTTTATCTTTTTATTTTTATTTTTGTTTGTGTTAATTCCAATTTTTTATTTTTATTTTTTCAAAAAAAAATCTCTTTGTTTGTTCTTTTCATTAATGATCATTCCGGATCTGTTAAATCCTCTATCATGTAACACTTGTGTCTAATGTTAGACTAATCATAAATTTTATGTGTCTACTCTTGTATTTTCTTAATACAATCTTTTTTGTTATATTACTCGATCAATTTATTATTTATTTTTATAAAATGAACGTACATGTCATGCAAAGTTAACAATTGTCTAAAATGTTTAAATTTATGAAAAATCTCAAAAATTCAACAATTTAAAAATAATTGAAACATTGAAAGAGGCTTTTTTTTTTTTCAAATTTCCATAAGATGCCCAAAAATTCAAAGATCGAAATATTAAGAATTTTGAAAAAAAAGAAGAAATTATTTTGAAAAAATCCCTAGAAATTCAAAATAATGCATCTTTTCATTTTTAAATAAGATTTTTCTTGTTTGAAATTTCAATTGTTTTCATCTTAATAATTAAAGTTGCCAATTTTACATGACATATTAGTCCAAGCAACACTTTAAAATAAGGTTTATCAAGTTTTTTTCTTCATTATTATTATTATTTAACTCACGTAATCAAAACTTCTAACAAAATTAAAATTTGAATTTATAATAACTTTTTACATATAAGCAAGAGACCCTTACCTCTAACTCATTGGTCACTATCATTAATTGAAATATTGAACTATTTATGAAAATTTTCATGCATTCCATCACTATTTTTGTAATTAAAAGAAGAAAGTCTTATAAAATAATTTAATTTCTCAAAAACCTTAAATTGTTTTCCTTGTGATTGTAAAAAAAAAATTATTAATTAAATTAGATGAGTCTCGAGTTAGATATTAAGAAGTAAAAAATAGGTTTAAACAAGCGTTTAATGACTTAAAAAATCAGTAGTTTTTATTTTTATTTTTTATGGCTACCACTCGTGTGTATTTGTTATTCTTTTGTACTTGGTTGTTATTGTTATGTTTTTCTAAAAGTCACTATTTTTTAAAGGTAATAATTATAGAGGAATTTTTGGGTCACACAACGGAAAGTTGGTGCTATTACATAGTCATCCAAAAATTTAAAATTAGCAAAATTCGAACTTTATTTTATTAAAAGAAAAAACTAATTGAGCATACAGCTGTGAGGGAAGAGAAATTACATCATCTACCATCACAAGTGTTCGCTTCCAATTCGTGCTTAATTAAATGCGCTTCGTGATATGTATGTAAGCCCTTGCCTTGCCTAAGCTACAGCACGCAGCGCTTTTAGGAAAAACAGCAGTGTGTTTTTCAAGCTCTCAACTCTGCAATGGCCGCCAGTACAGAAGAAGAACCACGAGTCTCTTCTAAACAGTCGAACAACAAAAAGGGAAAAAGAAAGCGAACCCAACAAAACCCACAACCCGACAGACTCGACTCACTCCCATGGAACTCTTCCGTCGATCAAGATGATCCTTTCTCTGGTATTGTTGGTTCTCACGAGCTCGAAGGAGGTCAGCCTCACCAATTCAATCTAATGTTTCCGTTTTTTAAACTATACTTAGCAGCAGGGTTTAAGCTTGGACCATCCTGTTTCTCTATGTGATTTTTTCTTCTTTTGGGTGAATGCAGGATTTCTTTCACTTGAAGAGATTGATGAGGCTGATTATGGCTTAGGAATACCTGAACTTGAGAAGAAGGTGAAGAAAAAAATAAAAAATAAATCCAAGAAACAGAAGGATGCTGATGCTGATGCTGATGCTGATGCTGGTGGGGTTGAAGAGAAGATAGAGGAGGAGGGGATAAATGTGGAGGATAAGAAAAATAGAAAGAAGAGAAAGAAGAAAAAGAAAGCGAAGGAATCATCAAAAGTTGAGGAAACTACTTCTGGTTAGTGCTTTTCATATAAATTCTGGATTCCTTTTTGTGGCTTAATGTGGTCTTTTTGTTTGATTCTCTTTACATGTTGAAGTTTGGTTCAATGTTGAGTTTATTTATGTTGTTGGCATATATTTCAGTTTTGAGGTTCCTTGGATTTTGGTGTCTATAAATTACGGCAGGTTTTTGAATTTGTGGTTGGTCTCTGAATTACTTAAGTGCATTTTGATCTCCCAACATTAATGCGTTCGTCATTTGGAAAATTCACGATCACTTGTAAATTTCTACTGTGATCTCCAGGTGCTATTGATTGATATTTTATCAGTTATTGTTGTTTTGGTGCATTTTAATGTTAAAAAGTTTAGTGAATTGATGGTAATCTACCAATATAAGATGTGTTTATCAGTCTGCAATTGTGTCACTGTAGTTAGCAACAACAAGGATGATGTTGAGGGAGAATCGGTTCATGAGACTGAATTTTATGCATGGAATGAGTTGAGACTTCATCCTCTGCTCATGAAATCGATATACAGGCTTGGGTTCAAGGAACCAACACCAATACAGAAATCTTGTATTCCTGCTGCAGCTCATCAAGGAAAGGTTGGTTAAGTTTATTGTTTAAGGCTTGAATGGTGAATAATGCTGTTTGGTCTGGTACTCATGATCATGCCTTAATGTGATAGGATGTTGCTGGAGCTGCAGAAACTGGGTCAGGCAAAACTCTTGCTTTTGGTTTGCCCATTTTGCAACGTCTCCTGGAGGAACAAGATAAGGCTGCAAACATGCTTGTTGAAGATAGTGGAGAGGCAGCTGAAAGGTTTGCATCGAAAGGCCTTTTGCGAGCTCTTATCATCACTCCTACAAGGGAGCTTGCCATTCAGGTGCTCATCATTTTGAATGAAATTCTCAGTGCTGATCATGAATTCTCCATAATGCTCTTAGTTTCTGTGAATTTAGCTTTGATAGATTTGAAGTTTCCATGCGGGTCTTCTTTTCTCCATTCCAGGTCACTGACCATCTTAAGGAAGCAGCTCACGGTATCAACATTAGGGTGGTTCCAATTGTTGGTGGGATGTCAACTGATAAGCAGGAAAGAGTTTTGAAAGCAAGGCCTGAGATTATTGTTGGAACTCCTGGGAGGTTGTGGGAACTTATGTCGGGAGGAGAAAAGCATCTTGTTGAGGTTCGTGATTGCATGCAATAGATACATTGGATGTATTCCTTCTAGAAACTTTTTTTTTTTTTTGGGTGTTTATTATTGATTCGTTTGTTGGATCTTGACACATTTGATTTCTTTATAAAACACACATTTTGCCTTATACTATTTAGTATTGTATGCCAATATTGTGCTTACAGCTGCTACTAGTACCTCACACTAGATAGAACAGACAAAGTTAAAGCTCAAGACGGGCCTACTAGTTATTAGAAGATAAAGATAGTTTTCCAGCTTTATAGGTGTTATTGGAATATTGTAGCCTGCCATGGCGGCTAAACCACAAGTAAGCACTTGAAGGCTACTCAAAACAACCACTCCTCTCCCCTCTAATTAATGTGGAATTTCGATCAAATTTTTAAATTTAATTAGTTCCTTCAATGCTAGTGGCAATAACATGACTTGACCCAGAGCTGCTTGCACCGATACCGCAGATGATAATTAAATGCCACCATGCATCCATATTACTCAACTCGTGGTTCTCAACTACTGCTAGCCGGTCAGTTGTGCCCAACCACCCCCAGCTCTTACTTACAGCTATCTGCATTACTGTGACTGTCATAGCTTACATCACCTTTCTAGCAATGCAACTGGATTTCTTCTGAACCATCACTTCCTTTCTCTTGACATTAATGCTGACACCATTGCCTCATCGTGACACACATATATATTGAAGACATCCTCCAGCTTGCCGCATCTGTAATTACTTCAAAAAACTGCTGGCCACTGCAGCCACCATTGCCTGCCACCATGTCCAGCACCATTTCATTCACCAATAGCTCTGCATGAGGTTGAGTTTTAGGAAGGTCATCAATATGCTGACTGCTGTCTCAGCTAATTCCCCAGAAGGCAGCATAATGTCCATGAAATAAAGTATACAAGATTCCAAATTCACTTCATATCAATGCATATATGTGACTTTATCAAAAAGAAAATTCTGAACTGGAATGTCTTCTCTACTCTTGCCTCTATTTGAGCACCTTATTCATATGACATTCTGTCTCTGTTTGTTTTCTTCTGCAGTTGCATTCATTATCTTTCTTTGTGCTGGATGAGGCAGATCGAATGATTGAAAATGGACACTTTCGTGAGTTGCAGTCTATTATTGACATGCTGCCCGTGGTTTGTGGTTCAATTGGGGGACAGTCTCAAAGTTCAGAAAATTGCGAAACACTTTCAAACATGCAAATAAAGAAAAGACAAACGCTTGTTTTTTCTGCAACTATTGCATTATCTGCTGATTTTCGCAAGAAGCTAAAGCGCGGCTCACTAAAATCAAAGCAATCAACTGCTGATGGACTGAATTCTATAGAAATGCTATCTGGACGAGCAGGAATGAGAGCTAATGCTGCCATCATTGATCTGACAAATGCATCAATCCTTGCAAATAAGCTCGAGGAATCTTTTATAGAGTATGTGTCTGACATTGCATCTCAGATTGGAATTTATATGGCTACTAAATGCATGAATCTAAGTGGTTTACAAGCTACTTGGTGGGATGATCTGAAGCTTGTACTGGATTTCTAAATTTGGCATACCACAACATATTTTACAATAGAGCGGGCCATGTTGATAGCTACTATCTGTAATTTCCCGACATGCTCACATACATGCCTCTGAAAATTCTTGTCTGCAGATTGGTTTGCATGGCCAAAATATTATTCCAATTTCATCTGCCTTGTCCTCAGAATTTACATGGGCTGTAGTTCAAT